GCAGTGAGCTGAGGTCATGCCACTGCACTCCAGCCTAAGGAAAAAAAAAACAAGACTGTCTCAAAAAGAAAAAGAAAAAAAAAAGAGTTGCATTGTTGTTGCATTTTGACACTGTAACAGCAGATTTGAGGATTTGTGACAGAAGTCATGTGACTTATAATGCCAAAAATGTTTATTATCTGGCTCTTTACAGAAAAATATATATGCTAACTACTGGACTAAATATAAGTTATGAGATAGACATTGTCTGATTGAATTAGAAAGCAAGGTCCATCTGTATGCCTCTGCAAGAACCCTCTTTTAAATATAAAGATTTAGATAGTTCAAAAGTAAAAAGACAAATGTATCAGGCAAACACTAATTAAAGTAAGTCCAGGTACTTATAGTAATTTCAGATAAAATAGATATTCCAACAGACAGTTTTCAGAGAAAAAGGGGGACATTACCAATTATAAGGGGAAAATTCTCCAAGAAGACATAACAATACTAAATGTGTATGCCTGATAATAAACCAGAAAACTGACAGATCTGAACAGAGAAACAAGACATGTCCTCAATTATAGTTGTAGATTTCATTATTCCTACTTCAATATCTGTAAGAAATACTAGGAAGAAAATCAGTAAAGATATAGATGATGTGAAGAAAACCATCAAGCAACTTGACCTAATTGGCATTCAGGCACCCAACATCCGGATACACCGTCTCCTCAAGTGCACATGGATCATTAACCAAGACAGATCATATTTTGGACCATAAAATAAATGATTACTATTTTGGATTTTTTTGTTGTTGTTGTTGTTGCTTTAACTGCACAGTAAAAAGTTTCAGAAGAACAATGTTCACATGTAATTTATAATTAAAACTACCTAACCAGTGGTGAGAAAGTTGTGGATTATACAGGGAGAGTAGACTTATTGTACAAATAAACTGGGAGACCTCTATTCTTATATCTGTAGATGCCTGAATGTTTGGTTTTGACTCTTGGCTTAGGTAAGAAAAGAAATAATTTGCTGTTGAAGGTATACTTCCTTTCCGTGAAAACCTCCAGGACCGATTGATTTTCCTGGAAAACCTGATTACACACCTGGATTTTCCTTCTATATATAAATGCATAAAGACTCCACTTTGAACTTCAGCCATGAGCTTTCCTAGAGACAGAATTTATTCCACAAACTTTTGTCAGTCCATGCAGTCTAAGCCTCTACATATAAAAATTAATAAGAACTCTGGGGACCTTGTACGTGGATGTCTATTGGATCCCTGGGGCTCACCAGCACTCTCTCTTGCTACACCAAATCCTTCATCTTTGAATAGAAGATTTAATATGAGTATGCTCTACTGAGACTTTGAGTCTCATCAAATACCCAATCTTAAATATCTTTACATGGTCAGAATCTGTAAACTATGTCCTTATCTTGAAACATATGAACCTGAGAGAGATTCTGATAAAGATTTTAATTTCAAATGTATTGTACATTTATAGTTTTCCTTGCTGAGATGGTTATTAATCATATTAAATCATTCCATGGTCTAGTGATGTTTAGCATAAAGGCCTTTATTATAACTAAGTTCTTAAGACTGTGAAAGATTGCTTAGTATCAAATAAATAGGTATGGTGGTAGATATAGATAGATTAGATGATAGCTGACAACCATTTCCTTAATTAATGTTCTCTTATTGACCTTGTGGAATTCTTTATTGCCTAATGTTTGATACTGAGGAGGGCATACTGATTTTATTTACTTTGAATACATAACCAGTAGTGGAATTGCTGAGTCACACAGTTCTGATTTTTAATTTTTTGAGGACCCTCGATACTGTTTCCTATAATGATTGTATTAATTTATATCCCCAACAACAGTGTGTAAGTGTTCTCTTTTTTCTGCATCTTCATCTGTGCTTGCTATCTTTTATCTTTTTGATGACAGCCAATCTAACATTATATCTCATTGTGGTTTTGATTTATGTTTTCTGGTGATTAGTGATACTGAGCATTTTTTAATTTACCTGCTGGCAATTTGTATGCATTCTTTTGAGAAAGTCTATTCCTTGATTATGTCCATTTTTTAATCAGGCTATTTGTTTTCTTGCTGTTTGGGTTTGTTAATATTTTGAATATTAATCCCTTATCAGATGTATGGTTTGCAAATCTTTTTCTGTGAGCTGTTACTTTACTCTGAGTCTCATTTGCTGTACAGGAGCTTTTTAGGATGGTATAATTCTATTTGCCTGTTTTTGCATTTGTTGTCTGTATTTTTGAGGTCATTTTTCAAAAAATCATTACCCAGATTAATGTATGAAGCTTTTCCCATATGTTTTATCTACACTTTTACAATATCAGGTCTTATATTTAAGTCTTTAATTCATTTTAAGATAATGTATGTATATGGTAAGATATAAGGATCTAATTTCATTCTTCTGCATATAGGTAACAAGTTTTGTCAACATCATTTGTTGAAGAAACCTTTTCCTCATATGTATTCTTGGTGCCTTTGTCAAAAATCAGTTGGCTGTAAATGCATAGATTTATTTCTTGGCTCTCTATTCTGTTTCATTGGTCGATGTGTCTGCTTGTATGCCAGCACCATGATGTTTGCCCATTTTGAAGTTAGGTAGTGTGATTTACTTATAAATTACCCAGCCTGGGGTTCTTCTTTATAGCAAAGCAAGAATGGCCTAACACTATTTTTTAATCTCTTTTAATAGTAATTAGTCATTTTGTATGTACAGGTGTCATAGTTTTTCTAGAATGGTTATTTCCAAGAATGTAATATGTTTAGTGCTAATATAAATAATATTCTTTTAAATATTCTAGTTTTTATATTTTTTCATTTTATATACAAATGAGATACTTGTGTATTCAATTTATACCCAATGGATTTTTCAGATTCACTTGGTAATTCAAGTATTTTATCTATAGATTATTTTGGATTTTCTGTGTTTATATTATAATAAGGTTTTCTTTGGTTAAAGATTCCTTTTTAAAGTTTGTATATTATTTTTTTTGTAGCCATATTTACTGACTAGAATTTCCACAAAGATATACAAAAATGTTAATAGTGAATTCTCTTAACTTCTTCACAATATTAGGAGGAAAGACTAAATAATTCAATATTAATTATTTTCATTATTCATGTTTTGTTGATCCCTTTCATCAAATTAAAAAACCTCAAATCTATTTCTAGTACCTAAAAATGCATGTGTCTTATGTGTGCATATGCTTACAAATTACGGAATCCAGTCAAATTTAATCAAATAGTTTGAGTATTTTAGATATCTTATATAAGCGGAATCATGCAATAGTTGCCTTTTTGTGACAGGCTTATTTCATTTAGCATAATGTCCTTAAATTTCATACATTTTACTGCATATGACAAGATTTCCTTCTTTTTTCAGGCTGAATAATCCTAGCCACGTTTTGTTACTAATTTTTGCTGACCTCATGAAAGGAATCAGCATGTGTAGGACTGAAGGTTGTATCTTCCAAAGTGTTTACTTGTTTGCAAAGAGGAAGCCATTAAAACTTAAATATTCTTTATAAAACACTTTTTAATTTTGATTACAGTTGCTTAAAACTGCAGTTACATGTAGGTATTTAAATTATTCTTAGGTCAGTTTTGGAAAGTGTCTTTTTTATAGAAATACCTCTATTTCATTTAGATGTTTAAATTTCTTACTAGTGACTATGAATGTGTGCCTTTTCACTTCCAATATTGTTAATGTGTGTCTTCAAAATTGTTTTCTAGTATTAGTATATTCTAAAAGGTTTATTGGTTTCCTTAAAGAAATAACTTCAGCTCTGTTTATTCTTAATATTAGCGTTTTCTTTAATTTTCATTAAATTTTTCTGTTTCCTATATTATTTCTTTCATTCAATTAATTTAACAATACTTACAGGTTCATTTTCAATTTTTCTTTAACATCTTCAAGTGGTCTCAGATTCCCACTGAGCAAGGCCTAGCTACATCAGTCATTTTTTTTCTATAATACTTTTATAGTTTACAATTCAAAGTATATTCAAATTTCCACTGAATGTTCTTCTTTGATCAGTAAATTGTTTAGAAATGTATTGCTTATTTCAAATACTTGGGGAATTTACATTTTTATAATAACTTTATCTTAAATTTGCTTTAGTTAGACAACATAATCTGAAATATTTCAGTTATGAGAAACTAGTTAGACCCGTTATGTGCCCAAGCATATAGAATATATCAGTAAATCTTTCACATGGACTTAACATGTATATTTTGAAGTTGTTGTGTGTATCAAATAGATCATTTTTGCCAATCACATTGCTCAAATCCTTCAGTATATTTGATGATTTTTCTTTTTCTTTTCTTTTTTTTTTTGAGACGGAGTTTCGCTCTTGTTACCCAGGCTGGAATGCAATGGCGCGATCTCGGCTCACCGCAACCTCCGCCTCCTGGGTTCAGGCAATTCTCCTGCCTCAGCCTCCTGAGTAGCTGGGATTACAGGCACGCGCCACCATGCCCAGCTAATTTTTTGATTTTTAGTAGAGACGGGGTTTCACCATGTTGACCAGGATGGTCTCGATCTCTTGACCTCGTGATCCACCCCCCTCGGCCTCCCAAAGTGCTGGGATTACACGCTTGAGCCACCGCGCCCTGCCCATTTTGATGATTTTTCTACTTTTCTTTTTGTTCTATCAATATTTGCTTCTTACAGGTTGAAGTTATATTAAAAGTCATAAAATATTTTAATTACAATTATTATAACTTCTTAATAGCTTGACCTTTTGCATTATAATACACTCTTCTTTTATCCTACTAATACTGTTATACTTAAAATCTATTTGCTTTATTTTGTAGAAAGTTCCTGTGGTATATATTTGTTCATCTTTACTTTGAATGTTTGTATGCCTGAAAATGTATCTTTTTTCAGCAGCATATGGGGAAAATGTCTCCAAATTTTAGGATCATTGTCTTTGATTGATTGCAGACCATCACAATATAATATAACAACATATCACTGCATTTTAAAATATAACAGCGGCTTTTAATTATCGTACCACCTCATTACATTACAATATTTCCTTATACCATGCCCCTACTGACAGAATTAGTGTCTACTGACCCACAGAAATAGTGAGAGAACTTAAAAAAAAATTGTAATGTAAAACTCATTATCATGCATTTCTGATTAGTAAATTATCTGTAAAATTATACATGTATGTGTGTGTGTATATATATATATATATATATATATATATATATATATATGTACACCATATTTTTTGGTCAAATTAAAATCACAATATGCAGGTTTGAGTCCCAGGAAATCAGGTAATGTACATTCTCTTTTCTTCCATCTTTTTTTTTATGTGTGTTTATCCATTGCAGATAATTACTCTTGAAGACTGAATAAATGAAAAAAAGTCACTTTTATCAACAAGTAAGTTAAAATGATAGCTACTTCAACAAATAGCATGCAAGTAAACTTATTGCAAAGTAGACCTATATGATGCAATTTATTTTTAACCAACATTTTAAATACACAAATGCTAAAGAAGTAAAATTAACTAGAGAAAATAATGTAAAATATAACACTGCAAGAAATTTTTAAATGGAAAATTTCAATATCATTTATAACTTGATCATGTCTATTATAAATCCTGAAAATATTACAATTCTTAAAAATATTATCTGTTATTTTTATTATATACAGGTATATGAATGTCACTACTTAATATGTATTTATTTTAGTCATATTTATCTAATATATTGCATTGTCTCTCTCTCTCACTCATCCTTAAAATATTTGAAACTCACTCATGTCCTTCGCAGGGACATGGATGAAGCTGGAAGCCATCATTTTCAGCCAACTAACACAGGAACAGAAAACCAAACACCACATGTTCTCACTCATAAATGGGAGTTGAACAGTGAGAACACATGGGCACAGAGAGGGGAACATCACACACTGGAACCTGTCGGGGGATGAGGAGCAAGGTGAGGAAGAGCATTAGGATCAATACCTTATGCATGCAGGGCTTAAAACCTAGATGATGGGTTGATAGGTGCAGCAAACTACCATGGAACATGTATACCTATGTAACAAAAGTGCACATTCTGCACTTGTATCCCAGCACTTAAAGTATAATAAAAACAGAAAGAAACTCACAGTGGTATCATGGCATCTCTGTTGTCCAGACTACCCTTTAGGTTCACTCTCACTTTCAAGTTGCCTGCATATTAAAAATTAAAATGATGTTAAATTTTCTTCAAGATGGTTTTAAACCTCTGTATTATTTATTAGTCTTGAAACAGCTCTGAATTTTTACCTGAGATCTGGGTTCACCCCTTATTTGAGAATACTGTATCACTGAGAATATCTCTGCCCTGGTAATCAAGACTAATAATGCATGTCTTTGCATCACTAAATATGAAAAAAAATGCAGTGATATATGTCTATCTGAAAATAAACTTAGATCATTTTGTATTCATAATATTATTGGTTAAATATCTTTAAACGTTTATGCCATTCATTTTCAACCTATTACTTCCTATTCGTATTACTAGCTATGTTTTTTCCCTAAAGATATTTGATATCAGTTTTTCCACAATAGTTATCCAGTATGAGAAAACCACTTTAGTAAATTTAAGAATTTACTGATTAGTTTAGGTATTGTACATTATTTCAGCAATTTCACATCAACTTTTGAAATATATTCTCTTTTCATTTACATTGTCTTATTAAGTATTTTAATGAAATTCAATTCATTTCAAGTAAAATGAAGGACAGTTATATAACTCTTAGGCGAAAATCATTTTATAGCAATTTCCTTGAAAAAATTAAACAAGTTTTAATATTTACTTGTATTTTTATAGCAGATAGTTTTATTTTTAATAAAAATTTTTTATGTTTTCTGTAGACTAGATGTGGCTATCATCTAGATATTTAAAGTTTTATTATGTATTAATTTTTAGTCTTTTTCTACTTCTAACTGCTTGTGTTTCAATTTATGTTACTACAAAAAAAAAAAGCTAAATTACTTTCCTGGGTTTTTAAAAATTATCTTTCATTAAAATAGCATAAAAATTCCTTAAGATATAGAAATATAACAAAGTTATTTAAGTATTAAGTTAAAAATCCATATTTAACAATTAAGATCAAAAAATGAAAGAAGGTAAACTTTAAACTTTAATGGATCGCTAAACTTTATCTACTTTTGCCCCTAAAAAAGTCAAGATTCTTATCAGTTTAAAATTGCCAGCCTTCAAAAAACTCTGTTCATATATGTGTGTGCATATATAGTGATATATATTATATATTGATATTTCTATTATGTCTATTATATAGATACATCATGTATAGTGTATACATATAAATCATGTATATATATAGATACACCGTGTATATATATAGATACATCTTATATATAGGTACCTATATATATATAGATACATTGTATCTATTATATACATACATCGTATCTATATATACAATCTACACGATGTGTGTGTATATATGCACAATTGTGTACACCAGCAGATTTTTTGAAGGTTGGCAATTTTAATCTTATAAGAATCTGGACTTTTTTAGGGGCAAAATTAGATAAAGTTTAGCTATTCATTAAAGTTATCTTTAAAGTTTATCTACCTTCTTTCATTATTTGATCTTAATTGTTAAATATGGATTTCTAACTTAATACTTAAATAACTTAACTTTGTAATATTTCTGTATCTTAAGGAATTTTTATGCTATTTTAATCTAATAGGAAAACCCAGCATAAAAATTTAGCTTTTTAAAAATATACATCATACATCATATATATATATATATATATATATATATATACATACATACATACATATACACACACATTGTATATATATAAATACACACATATACGAACAGATTTTTTTGAAGGTCAGCAATTATATGTGTACATATGTATGTGTATGTGTGTGTGTGTGTGTGTATATATATATATATATATATATATATATATATATGTATTTTTTTTTTCTTTTTTGAGTCTCAGTCTCACTCTGTTGCCTAGGCTGGAGTGCAGTGGCACAATCTCAGCTCACTGCAGCCTCCACCTCCCAGGCTCAAGTGATCCTCCCACCTTAGCCTCTTGAGTAGCTGGGATTATAGGTGCATGCCACCATGCCTGGCTAATTTTAATATTTTTTTGTAGAGGTGGGGTTTCACCATGTTGCCCTGATCTTGAACTCCTGGCTTTAAGTGATCCACTTGCTTTGGCCTCAGAAACTGGTGGGGCCTCAGTGTGAGCCGCCACTCCCACCATTAGTTATTAACATAGGAGTTATTGAATTCCCATACAAAAACAATAATTGAATTTCAACTATTACTTATTACATCTACCACAATGCTATTTATTGACTATGTTTATAAATTATACAAATAGCAAATCTTAAATATGAAATCAACGTACTCATCACTTGAATAGTCCTCAGTTCTCCATTTTTTCCTTTGGAAATAAACTTTCACCATTATAGCAATCAGTACACAGAAAATTATAAAGAAAGGAATGAATAAGAATAATGGCCATCTCATTGGTTTGGAATGGTAAATGTTCTCAATGAAGCGCCTTTCTAGGAGGAAACAAAATTAAAGATTTGAAAGCAAGCACCGGAAATATGGTAAAGATATTTCTGTATTTTACTAAGTCTACCAGAATAAAACCTTTGAACAATTTAATAGTTTTATAATTAACATATTTTACATGAAATAGATAACTTGAAAACATAAGTGCCCAAAGTGACTCTCCTAATGCTTTTTAAAATAGATAGCTATATATCATAGGCTAATATTTTGTTGAGGATTTTTATATCTATATTCATGAAGAATATTGTTTTGTGATTTTCTTCTTTGTTGAGTTTCTTGTTTGAACTTGACATCAGAATTATGTTTCCTACTACAATGAGTTGACAGGAACTTCCCCATCACTGTTTACTGAAAAGAGTATTGCTTTCTTTCAAGAATTTGGTTCAATTCACCTGTGAAACCACCTGTGCCTGTAGTTTTTTGTTTGTTTGCTTATTTTTGTTGGTGGTGATTTTTAAAAAATCATAAACCCACAGGTTAAGAAGAAGTGTGGTTTCTGACTTTTTGGTTGTGCCCTTTGGCTTATAATCTGAATAGTCTTTTTTACATCTAAGTGCCTTTATCAGCCTGTTTCTTGCCTATATGACAAAGAGATTTATTAGTGTGGCCTTTGTTTAATGGATTGTGTTAGTTTATTTGGGAACCAATTAACATATATGCTATCTTGATCACTTTCAACCTGAGCTAATATAATTCTTTTGAATTTCTGATGTATCAAATAAAAACACAATACATTAAACAAAGGCCACACTAATAAATTTCTTTGTCATAAGCCTTTCTCTGTATTTGATCTTGTGAGGCTGTTATGAAATGACCAGGTTAAAATTCTTAGTAGCCTTATTCTTTGAAAGTTTTTTATGATGCATTTACATAAAATACCTAGAAGGCCTTTGTATAGATGAAAAAGTCTCGGACGGACACGGTAGCTCGCACCTATAATCTCAACAGTTTGGGAAGCCTAGGCAAGTGGATCATCACTAGGTCAGAAGTTCAAGACCAACCTGGCCAACATGGTGAAACCCCATTTCTACGAAGAACACAAAAAATCAGCCTGGCATGGTGGGGTGCACCTGTAATCCCAGCTACCTGGGAGCTGGAGATTCACTTGGACCCAGGAGGTGAAGGTTGTGGTGAGCAGAGATCAAGTCATTGCACTCCAGCCTGGGTGACAGAGCAGGACTCCATCTCAAAAAAAAAAAAAAAAAAAAAAAAAATCTAAGAGATGTCAACTTCAGTTTTTCTGAGACTTTAACAAAGGGATTTATCATCAAAAACCTTGCTTAATTTTGATCTCAGATAAAATTTGTTTGTTTTAATCTCTTTAAGAAACTCGCTGAGAATAAAAATTAGTTTTACTTTCACCAATAAAATTCTTGCTTGAACCAATGTCCTAGAGTGCTCTAGTAGTTTCACAGTAGGCAGGATTTCAATTCTCCACATTAGCAAAGGCAGCAGTGATGCCAAACTATTTACCACTTCATAATAATGGTTTCCCTTTCTGCAACATGTTAATATGTTTGTAAACTGTCCTTGGATTGCTCACCAACTTCAACACGTACTAAGACTTCAATAGTTTCCTGCCTTTCTACCTTCCATACACTATCCAATTTCAAAGCTAAGGCCACATTTTAGATTTCTGTTACATAAATACACAACATATTGGTAGCTAAATGTTTTTTATTATTTATTGCTGTATAAGAGATTACCTCAAAGCTTAGTAACTTAAAACATTCAATTTTGCTCACAACTTTATTGGTCATGATTTCAGGAGGGCTTGTTAGATGGTTGTATTTTGTTTCTGAGTGCAATCAAAATTCAGATATTGCTGATAATTTTCAAGAAGTGAATGAGAGAATGAGTTTTCCAGTAATGAGAATTACAAGGTAAGTATTCCAAAATACCTAGTTAGAGTCTGTAGGAAGATCACGAGAGTCCTAGAATGTTAGTCCTGCATATTTTATTGGTCAATCATACCACTAAAACCAATCTGGAAAGGAGTGGTCTCCATTGCTCACTGGCATGTGTGTGTGCATAAATAGGAGCAATTAATTGCAGCCAATGGGAAGATAAGCTAATTGTTGCTAGTAAAATGGAAATAGCTTGAAAATACATTAATTACAAAGTTTTAAACTTATTAATCTACTACTGTATAACATTAAATATAATATTTCCAGATACTGGAATTAATGTAGAAAGTACCTATGACTCAAAATCAGAAAAATAGCTCTGATTGTATGTGAATTTAGGTTTTTATACCAAAGAAATCTCCTGGCCCCAAGCATTATTGGATATGCCGGTTAACTTCCGGCATTCTCTAAAATTCATCTGGGCTTTTCCTCTGCTTTGATCAATATTACAGGGAACCACACTGCCCAAACTCCTTGGCCTGCTGTCTTCCAGTGAGGTTTGATCACTGAAAATCACTGAGTAAAATTTGGAGGATTCAGAGAGTAAAAATAGCTCTGATATTACTCCCCCTTCCTCTCCAGCATTGCCAACAGTGACTGTTTATTCTCTATACCTCCAGCTCATGCTGAACAGTAACTCTCGTTGTGGTTTCAATCCTGCTAAACATCCCTGACTATCGTTATACAACATACTAAATACCCAGATTCTGGATCTAGTAATACCACCTCTTTTTATTGTGTCTCCAATCCCCAAAATTGATAATCATTTTCTGGGTTTCCTCACCTTTCTCTGATTAGCTTTTCATCAACACAATTAAGGGTTGCCAGATGTCTTACACCCCTCATTCTTTCTGTTTGAAAGACTAAAGTGATGTCTGTCTTTATGCCTGGGCTCTGACTGATATAACATATGTTACATATGTTGTAATATATTACTCTCTGGAGACAGAAGTAAAACATACACATTCATATGCAGTTTAATGTCCAAACATAGTCTAGATATAAATTGGTAGACAAAATATTATTTGTGTTATTAAATTAAATAAATTCAAATTATGTTTTAATTATATTTCCAATTTATTATTAATACTTACGAGGGAGGTTGTTTGCTGTGGGTGGAAAATTGCCACTGTCAATACTGCCACCAGGCCATGAATCTGATTGAACTGCGCAATTTGGAGGTAAATATGAAGGACTACAGTGACAGTGCTTTTTGTTATTGCATACCTAAAAGCAAGAAAAATATCGCCTTATAAGATAAGCCACTAGATGTATGTGTGTTCAAGTAGAATTATAAAATAATGTGTATGTCAGATAAGGCCAATTTTCCTACGTGCAGGGTGTGCATGTGTGTGTGTGTGTGTGTGTATGTGTGTGCATATGTGTGTGTGTGTGTAGCAATGCACTGAGTTTCCTAAAATTAGGCTCAATGATTTCTATTTTTGCCTCACAGTACCACTACTTACACCTTTACTGTTGCATTTTTGTTGAGTACAATCATAACCCAAGTATGAAGAACTCACACATCTTTGATTCCTGCAAGCCTAAAAAGGATGAACAAAAATAAGTTATTTGACATGCCATCTAGATTTGCCATTTAATTAAAAGCATTCCATGCCGTACTAATAAAAAGGGTATTGCTTAGCAGCAAGTATTGCTATACTAACAATGAATAATTAATGTATTGAGCTACTGTGTTTCCAGCACTAGATGAGACTCTGATTATCTAGGTGTAAACAGAGTAAGCAAAACAATAACAGCTTCTTCCCTGCTTAAACTGGGGTAGCAGGTACAGATATGAAGTGAGTAAAACATAAATAGTATGTAATGAATGCTGTAATGAAAAAATTGATTTACAAAAGTATAAAATCCAGGAAATGTGTCTAATATTTGAGAATAGTAAAACCTTCTCACTGAGCCCCAATGATAGATGGGATTTACTTGGTACAGAAATAGAAGACAGAGTATTATAAAAGAAAAATAAATAATATTGAAAATGATTCTACCATGGAATACTGTATTGAACCTTTGAGAAACATAAAGGGTAGTGTGACCATTCAGTCATTCATTAAATAAATATTTGAGTCCTACAGATGTACCTGGTTCCAAGGGAATCATCAGTGAACACAAATGTCATCTTGTATGTACCATAAAAAAGAGAGAGAGAAACAAACAAAAAACTAGATATTATGTGAAAGAAGATATTATTGGCAAGGTTGTGTGGAATCTTACATTCTTCATGAACAAGTTGGCCAAATACAGCAATTTGCTGTATTTACATGTTGGAAGAAGGAAAGCTGATAAAAGTAGGTTTTGGAAAAGAGAATGGAAATGGCAATAGCTGAGAGATACAAAGTTAGAAGGCCATTGCTGTGGTCCACAAAAATGATAACCATACAGTGAAACTGAGTGGTAGTGGGGATGGAAACCAGTAGATGTATTCTATTCATTTAAACCAGCTGAGTTGGAGCAATATACATAGTAAAAAGAGATGAGTGAATGATACCAAGGATTCTGACTTGTTTAATTCTCTTGCTGGTGGTTAAATCAACTGAGAATGGGAAAGTTAAGCATAAAGACAAAGATTTAGTAATTATTTTCAGAGATCTCTTTCAGTCTATATCAAATAATACTATGTTTCGAAAGAACAAAAAATGTTTAATGCACGCACACAAACACTCAAAGCAACTAATGGTAAGCCCAAGAACATATAATTGGAAATATTTTTTATTTTAAATGTTTGCTAAGGAATATTGGCAATATTTTGGAATTTTTTCCTCCTATAATTTAGAAGTAAGGTGGTATTACATTGTTGGTTTTGATTTGCATTTCCCTGTTAAGTAGTAATGTTGATCATTTTTAACATATGTTTATTATCCATTTGTATATCTTCTTTTGAGAATTGTCTATTCATGCCCTTAGCCCTCCTTTTGATAAGGTTGTTTTTTTTCTTGCTGATTTGTTTGAGTTCCTTGTGGATTCTAGATATTAGTCCATTTTTGGATGCATAGTTTGCAAAGGGTTTCTCCCATTCTGTGGGTTGTCTGTTTACTCTGCTAATTATTTCTTTTGCCGTGCAGAAGTTTGTAGTTTAATTAAGCCCCATCTGTTTTTCTTTGTTTTGTTGCATTTGCTAATGAGTTCTTGGTCAGGAAGTCTTTGCCTAAGCCAATGTCTAGAAGGGTTTTGCTGATATGATCTCAGAAAATCTGTATGGTTTCCGGTCTTAGATTTATTGTATTCTGTTACTTATTAAGCCAGAGAGGCTTTATAAATTAAACATGAGATTAATTTGAGCTTGCACCTCCTTGTGTATATATGTATTTATATGTAAGTATTTCATATTTTATAAAATTAAAAATCTAGAAAGGCAAAAACTGTTGATATATATGCATAGGTACCATATTGAATGCAAAATAGGAAAGATAGATATGTAGATAGATAAATGCTCTACAACTCTGCGCGCGTGCGTGTATGTGTGTGTGTTTGTGTGTGTGTCTATGAAAAATTGATGGGAGAGTTGTAAAAACGAAAAGTAATTCTATCTCAGATATGCAAATTGGATTGATTTTTGCTTTATTCTGTGAATTTGATTATTATTTTCATCAGGCATATATTATTTTACAATAGGCATATATTATTTTAATGACTATTTTAAAATAATGACATCAAAATATAGTTTATGAGATGTATTCTCTGTGTAATATGAGATAATTTAATAAAATACAGTGAATGAACAATGTGGTTTTCAATTCAGTAAATATACATAATTTCAATGAAAAAAGTACTAAATAACCAATGAAATAGTCATAGAAATGTCATATATGTGTGATTACAAGTATTATTTTTAAAGTTTATTTCTGATTTTCTGTATTGGATCTACTTAAATTCTGAGAGAAAACACTAATTATGTATCACTTAAGAACAGAGTCTATACCAGGTGTGATGGCTCACACATGTAATCCCAACACTTTGGGAGGCTGAGGTGGGCAGATAACCTAAGGCTAGGAGTTTGAGACCAGCCTGTCCAACATGGTGAAACCAGTCTCTACTAAAAATACATAAATTAGCTGGACATGGTGGAACTGCCTGTTATGCTGGCTACTCAACAGACTGAGGCAAGAGAATCACTTGAACCTGGAAGGCAGAGGTTTCTGTGAGAAGAGATCATACCACTGCACTCCCACTGGGGCAGCAGAGTGAGACTCCATCTCAAAAAAGAGCAGAGTCTAAAATATTGGGAAATTATTTAGGAATAAAAAACTACCTACCTTATTTGAACCACAAGAAGTTCCATCTTTTATCCACGTCTTTTGGCTGTCTGCATGATCACTGGGAAATTCCACAGCAACGCAGAGATGTCCACTTATGTTGGCATAAATAGTAGTGGCTCTTGGAATTTTTAATAAAAATGCCCCTACATATTTACATATTAATTTTCCACACTGCAGATTTCTATAATTTATTCATAAATAAAAACCGTTAATTTTAATTTAGAGAAATACAAGAATATTATTTCTAAAATAGATAGATTTAAATAAAGTATTCAAGCTTTGCAAAAGGATATATGCAATTCAATTTAAAACACTAAAATAAATAAGGGCCTTGCCTAAATGGCCAATGACAACTGATGCAAAAATAATAGTGGGTTTTGCCTCTCTTTTAATGGCAAAAACCACAATTACTTTTGCACCGACCTAATATTTCCTAGTTAGCCTGACAACTTTTTTGTTATTCCTTCACTTTTCTTTGAATCTGAAACAAAATCAAACCCAAGCTAAACATGAATTTAACATTTGTTCACCTAGTGAGTGACTTTAAAATGAAAATTTCAAGGTCGCACACATTAATTAACAAAAGTAATCACTAATTAATACTGTAGGGTTATAGCTATGTATATCACATAAGGTAGTATGTCCTATAGATTAATGTGAGCATTTGCCTATAGTACATGCTACAAACCGTAAGATTTTTATTTGGCTCATGCATCTTGTTTGGAATCTTAAATGCTACCACATGACCATTGCTACATCAGAAGATTCAGGAAACCATGCAGGCAGAGAGACTAACCCGAGGACAACTACATATGTTGAGATAGACAACGGATATTGTCTAAATAGCCCCCTAATTATCAAAATCTCAGCAGTGATGAAAATCTAGATGTCTTGGAGCAATTTTCTATGGCCTGAACTTTTCTCCTTTTGGCCAAAAGAAGAAAATGAAAATGGGCAAACCAGCCCCTGAAGTGGCCAGGTGTCTCGGGCAAGGGCTTGGAGTTGATAAAAGCTGTTCTGCACTCATAGTGCAAACCTGTTAAACGTTAAGTAGTTTCTTTCTTTCTTTTCTTTTCTTTTTTTTCTTTCTTTTTTTTTTTTTTTTTTTTCTTTTTTTTTTTTTTTGAGAGGGAGTTTCACTCTTGTTGCCCAGGCTGGAGTGCAATGGCATGATCTTGACTCACTGCAACCTCCACCTCCTGGGTTCAAGCGATTCTCCTGTCTCAGCCTTCAGAGTAGCTGGGACTACAGGTGCCCATGACCACACCTGGCTAATATTTGTAGTTTTTAGTAGAGATGGGATTTCACCCCATCTGGTCCTGAACTCCTGACCTCAAGTGATCCATCCATCTCGGCCTCCCAACATGCTGGGATTACAGGGGTGAGCCACTGTGCCTGGCCTAAAGATAAGTAATTTCATAGAACATCAACCTCAGGCAAAGCCATTCTGTGATCATGAAAGATTAAGAGAAAAAGCAAGTTCACTTCATAGATCATGTCCAAACACAGAGGAGAAACACAAACATTGTCCAAACCACAAATTTACTGTACATTCTCATGATTCAACTAATAGTGTGACTATTCCTTCGTTAGCAATTACAGCTTTAGCTTCACTTTAGTCTTCCCTCTTCATATATAAGATTTATTAAGATACACAATCATGTGTATCTTACTACAATATATCTCTTACTATATCTTACTACAATATATCTCTACTTAAAAACATCTAATTTAGAGCAAAGATCCAATTCCTGAAAGCTTTTGAAAAATCGCTTAACACAAGTCCAAATCTCTAAACTGGCATGCTCCACAATTTCTTATAATGTGCATTCTTACCACTCAACATGTAGAAAAACCCCACTTGTTCGACTACAGCTGCCTTCTTGGTGGTCTGTGACTGGAAGGCATTGTAGTAAGGTAGAACTGTAATCTGAAACACACATGCTTATACTTGGAAGGCACTGGAATGTAACTAGAAAGGGAATGACTATATAACTGAGCTTTAAGAATGGGAACTGCAGCACAAGATATTCTGTAGATGGGCTTTGTTTAATAATTTATGAAAGCACATCCAAGATTGAAGATTCTTAGCTGGAATAATCCAAGGACAGAATTAAAATATGAACCTAATATCTATTAGATGACTGGAAATTTAGACTGAGAACTAAAATCTGAATATAAATTTCAGATTTATACTCAGCCTAAAACCTGGATGACTACTGAACTAATTAAGTATGTGTGATGAAGAATCCAGGGAGCATATGGAAAGTATCTCCCAGATGCATAAAGAAATGAACAATGTTTTCAGCTGCTGCTCACAGACAGGGTTGGTTTGCAGTTTGAGTCCAGCTATGTTAAATCTCTTCCATTTCAAAATTCTAGCCTTCAGAAAAGCAAAAGTGAATGCAATTTCTATTATGTATTAGTCATATTATATGATATATAAAGTTTAAAAATATGCTAAACATACAAAGAAAAAGTAAAATATAACAGAGAGGGTAAATAAATCACTGGATACCAACACCACTACTACCCAGACATTGCATTCAGCAGAGAAGCCCTTTAACCTAGGTAACATAAAAAGAATCAAGGACGAAAGGAAAATATAGTTATACTAGCTAGAAATTTTCCTTTAGTCAGTATATGCTTTAGCAATTATAAAGCGAATGTCTGTGCATGTGGAACTTGAGTATATGAGGAAGGAACTTGTATTTCTAAGATATACTTTATGGCACTTAATTGGAATTAGAATGATCACTAAGTTAATGTTTTAAATGCAGAGATTTAAATTAATGAATATATAAATGAATATGTGATTCACGTATGTGTATAAATGAAATGCATGTCCTAGCACTGTTGACTAATAGGCCTGAGAGGTAACGAGAAACAGTAGACGTGCACACAGCTTGTGCTTAGGTATTTATTTTCAAATACCATCTTCTAAGAAAAGGAACCGAGGCTCCTTGGATAAATAGCTGAATCCAGAGCAGAAGTAGAAGAAGTACAATGCAGCCTATAACATATTCCCTTGTGCTAGAAAAATTTGGAAGTTATTAAAAAGTCATACAGACTTTTGAAAAGGACACATTAACAAACTCAAAGGGATTCCCAGTAGTCAAAATTAAGACTAATTTGATACTTTCTCAAAATTTGAGAAAGTATTGAAATAAATAATGTATTCTATCCTATTGAATAAAATAATAATTACTGTGTCTGAACTGATACACATAAATACATAGATAAGTAAATAAAAATAGAGAAGTGAATTCTTCTTGCTACATTTCTGACTAATAAAGGCAAAGTCAATTATGTAATTAGAAAATCACTGAAGGATTTTAAAACTAGTTAGTGAAAGTTTGAGGAGAAACAGAATATGTCCAGAGCCTCAGTATAACTCCTTCAAAATTACACATTAAACACAAAAGGAAAAATAATAATTTCACAGTTGAAAGACTTAAAGAATAATGACTTTATCAAAACATTTAACCTAAAATGTCTAATACTGAAAAGAAAATGGCATGTACCTTTAAAAAAATCAAGGGCACAACAATATCACTTCAGTGACAAACATGCCAAAATGTATAACTTATATATAATTATGAAAAATATCAAAGAAACCTAAATTGTGGGAAAATTCTGCAAATTACTTAACCAGTATTATAAAAAAAAAAAAAGTTAATAAAAAGTAACACAACTAAAAAGAAAAAAAATTCAAACTAAACACCTCTAAAAAATACATTATGAGAGGCCAGGCCCAGTGGCTCACGCCTGTAATCCCAGTATTTTGGGAACCCAAGGTGGGAGATTAAGATCAGCCTGGCCGACATGGCAAAACCATGTCTCTACTAAAAATACAAAAAATTAGCCGGTCGTGGTGGCGTGCGCCTGTAATCCCAGCTACTCGGGAGACTGAGGCAGGAGAATGGATTGAGCCCAGGAGGTTGAGGTTCCCGTGAGCTGAAATCGCTCCACTGCACTCCAGCCTGGGTGAACGGGAGCGAAGCTGCTTTCTCTCTCTCTCTCTCTCTCTCTCTCTCTCTCTCTCTCTCTCTCTCTCTCACACACACACACACACACACACAACACACACACAAAATGAGTAAACGCAAATATCTGACACTGGGCTTGTTCCTGAACAAGAAAAACAGCCTAAAATGACTCTATTGAAACAATGAATGAAATGTTAATATGAGTCATGTTTGATAGCTATAATGACTTATGTAAGAAAACATCTTCATTTTCAAGATAAACACACTGATTTATTGAGGAATAAACAAGCACAGTCTTCAATTTACACTCAAACAGTTCAGAAAAAAATTATGAAGAGAGGAGAGAAGAGTTAGAGTAACAGAAGGGTAAAGCAATGGGGAAAATGTAAACCATCTGTACACCTAAGCAAAGGGTGTAAGGGAATTCCTTGCACTATTCATGAAAACTAGAACGTTTGTTACGGAAGTTTTACTTTGCGTTTGAAATAAATCAACATAAAATTTTACCAAAAAGAAATGGATCTCCGTAACATTCTAGTTCTAATTTATTTATTTATTCAGTTTTGAGATGGAGTCTTGCTCTGCCGCCCAGGTTGGAGTTCAAGTGATCCGATCTCAGCTAACTGCAACCTCCGGCTCCTGGGTTCAAGCGATTTTCCCACCTCAACCTCCGGAGTAGCTGGCATTACAGGCACCGGCCATCAAGCCTGCGTTATCATGTCTGGCTAATCTTTGTATTTTTAGTAGAGATGGGATTTCACCATGTTGCTAGCCTGTCTCTTAACTCCTAACGATCAGGTGATCCAGCCTCCCCAAGTGCTGAAATTACAGGCCCGAGCCACCCCCGCTGGCCTTTTAGTTCTAATTTATTTAATAATAGTAACAGCTAATAGTTAACACTTTATAGTACATACTATGTATCAGTCACCAGTCTAAGTGTTTTTCATAGAGCGTCTATGTTTCCCACTGGCACCAAACCAGTGATGTTAGTGTTATTAATGTGCATATTTTACGTATAAAAAAACTGAAATACATGCCCGAGGTCACAAGAGTGCGGTTAGGATTTAAAGCCAACATGTCTGGCTGTAGAGCACACGTTCTTAAATATCACGTTTTACTTCTTAAATAGTAAAAATTCATGTATTTTCACTTTATTACTACGAGGGTTGTCATCCTTTGTAAAAAATAAAGTAATAAAGTAACAACATGTGTAATAAAAATGATGACTGATGGGTAATTAAGGTACCTGTATGAAAATTAAACACTTTGTGGAAAAGTACAAATGATACTTTGGGTACAGGAGAGAATAAATACAGACTTCTTTGTCTATGATATTTATAATTTGAATAAACATGGCCTTTATGTTCAAGGTATGTTTTGCTTACATATAATCTTAATTATTTGATGTTATTTTCAAATATAAGTTGATAAATAGAGGTTCTAAGATTAATTTCTGAAAACATACTCAGCTCCACACGGCGTGTATCCCGAATCAACTTTACCACAGTTTCCAGATATATCAGTCTTTGAATTAAGGTGAGAATAACACTCTGCAGGACCGAACTCTGCTTCTGAAAATAAAAAGGTGTGGTTAGTCATATTAAACATATATTAATTAAAAATAAATAACAAATACACTTAAAATTCTGAAATGGATTAAGATACTCATTGTACAAAATAAGTTCATAAGATAACATTCAAAATAAAAACTAGATTTAAGATCATACAAAACCACTTCAATGAAATGTTTAACAATTGAAAGAACTCTTGTCTGCTATCCACAGACATATCCTAGACATACTCCAGAGCTAACCATTGTGTTTAGCTTAACCTGTAGTTAAGTAATTTAAGTATTTTAATTTAAGTAAGTTTTTATAATAAGTCGGTATCTGTTAATATGTAGGAAACTTTTTACATATAATTGACTTCTTTGTTCATAAACAGTTTTAGCATGAAGGTCTTTTCGAGTCAAACCACTCACCAATTATCTTATGTTTTACATGATAATTTCCCCAGACCAGAAATATATTAGAGTCACAACTGATTCATTCACCCTCCCATCATTCAATCCCCATGCATAATCTAATCTGCATAATTTTAATTCTCATCAGATCCAACCTAGTTAAAAAGCAGTTTATTCCTCATAACCTCCACCTGCTCTACTTGACGGACTCAGCCAAAAATCTTTGACAGGGAGACTTAACCACTACATGACATTACCGCAGCACCTTAAAGGCTCGCGACCCGAGTGGACAGACTTAGAGCTCGGCTGCAACCCACCGATGCAGAAGTGAACCGAAAAGTAACAGTGGTCATCTGCAAAGCTCGTTATGGGTGAGCAGTCAAAATTTTAACCTTGGCTAGGGTAGCAAGTCATTGCTGGTAGACAAAAAAATAGGCTGAAGCAAAGAACTAAAGCCAAAATCTACAGCTCCAAGTGAATTCTGGTTATCCGGGAGAAACTGCTGAAAGACCGTGTGATGATACATTTTATGCATCAACTTGCTTAGGCTATAGTACCAAGTTATTCAATTAAACACTAATCTAGGCATTGCCCTATAGGTATTTCGTAGGTGTGATGAAGTCTATAATAAGTTTATTTTAAGAAAGATGATCTTAGATAATGTGGATGGACTGGATTCAATTATTAATAGTTGAAAGACCTTTAAAGCTGGCTTCCTTGAAAAAGAAAAAAAAATTCTGCCTGTGGACTTCAGCTTCAATTTATGCCCAAAATTGCTATTTTGCCCTTTTAATTGTCTTGCCCTATAGATTTCAGACTTGCCTAGCCAGCCCCACAATCTTATTTGCCAATTATTTGCATAGATATATATTTCTTCCTTGAGGTGGAGTCTCACTCTGTCTCCCAGGCTGGAGTGCAGTGATGTGATCTCAGCTCACTGCAACCTCAGCCTCCTAAGTAGCTGGGATTACAGGGATGCACCACCACACCCGGATAATTTTCTGTATTTTTAGTATCGACAGGGTTTTGCCATGTTGGCCAGGCTGATCTTGAACTCCTGACCTCAGGTGATCGGCCTGCCTCGGCCTCACGAAGTGCAGGATTACACGCGTGAACCACCATGCCTGGCCATATTCTTCTCTTTCAATAATTATTTAGAATATTTAAGCTAAATGTGACATTTTAAAAGTCACAATCATTGTTAGGCATGTATCAGCATCTATTTCTGTTAAGTTTCCAAAAAAAACACATATATAAGAAATAAAATGATAATAAATACCTTGGCCAAACATGTCCTTACATTGTTTATCCCCAGTCATACACACTCCATCTATACAGAGCCATTGATTCATTCCACAGGGATGCCCAGTCTGAATATAGTGGTTTTCTGGACATGACGCAGATGATCCATTGCAATATTCAGGGAGGTCACATTCGTCAAAGGCAGACCTACATTCTCTTTGTTTTGACGAAAACTGTTGGGATGAAGTCAATGATATTGAATTAGCAGAATGTGAATACATAAGCATAATAATGATAATTACTTATGTAGATAATATTGAAATTTTTCGAAAAGCTCTTACTAGACAATTTTCACAGCATGGTCCTTCAGCACATTTGAAACCGGCTTTAAATCTACATGTGGCACTATCACAGCATGTTGCTCCGAAAAAGGTACAATTCTGTAAGGCAAATAAAATGCTCTAAACTATTTTCCAACTTTTATTCACGTTGGACAGACATTTTCATGATGACAACCTAATATGTAACATACACATGATGATGCTTAATTTACATGTTGGCAAAGAGAAAAATAAATAAACCCTCTTATTCATTTCTTGACAGACATTTATTAATTACCTACTAATTGCCAGAGCATGTGTTGTTCATATTGCTAGAATAGGTTTGGTTACACTGATAAAAGGATTCTCTGAAGCCCTGGGGTCCACCATAGTCAAGTCATTGAGAAGAGCTCTGCCTCTTCTAGGCAAAGAGATAGTTAAATACAAGACATAAAATAAACAGAAATTATAATTTAAAAATTCTATTGTAGTGACTACGTCTTACTAGAGCCTTCTGAATCAATTTTATTTTAACAAGTTTCTCCATTTTATGGCATATATTGTTGATTTATGTCATTTTTAATTCTCTAATTAAAGTCTGGGAAATGATGTTACTTGTGAGAATACTGAAGTTTTCACCTTTATGTCATTCACTCATATCTTATTACGCCTTGTTTTATGCTTTAGTTCAAACTTCTATTACTAGGGTTAATAAAAGCAATAGGTAAGAAGAAGGCTAAAAAACTGCATTCATACACACACACACACACACACACACACACACTTATTTTTAAAATATGCAGAAATTTAAAATAGGGTAAATTGGAAAAAGAAATGTGATAAATCACACAAAAATAAATCGTGGATTTAGTAGTTTTCATATGAGTTATAGCAAGATACTTAATTGGACACACAGAGTAGTCAGTATTTTTTGCAGCTTTTCTAAGAATTGTCACTGTTACTGCTATCTACTGTAATTATAGAGGGGAAAGTTATATCTCAATGGTTTAAGCCTCAATTATATAACATTTAGAGAGCTTAGATACACTACTGTCAAACTGAAGAAGAAATTTTCAAGAATGTTTCTATTCCAACTCAGCCAAGCAGAAACAAGTGGGTTATGAGGAATAATTTTTTAAAAACATATCACACATATGGCGGGGTGTGGTGGCTCACTCCTATAATCCCAGCACTCTGGGAGCCTGAGGCAGTTGGATCACCCGAGGTTGGGAAGTTCGAGACCAGCCTGACCAACATGGAGAAATGCCATCTCTACTAAAAATAAAAAGATTAGCTGGGTGTAGTGGCACATGCCTGTAATCCCAGCTACTTGGGAGGCTGAGGCAGGAGAATAGCTTGAACCCAGGAGGCGAAGGTTCTAGTGAGCCAAGATCACATCATTGCACTCCAGTCTGGGCAACAAGAGTGAAACTCCGTCTGATATATATCAAACATCTTAGGATCTATAAACATACTTTTATGTTTTGGGGCGCAACGTGAGTGACCAATGTAGGGCACAATGAAGTCTACTTAGTTTTCTTGATTCTCTTGAGTCTGTACGATTCACTGTGAGTCTCAATATCTTCCTCATTTAATTCCCATTATCTCTGCTCTCTTCGCCTCCCTTCAACCCAGGTGCTTTATCTAAGATTTCTATTGTTTGGGAAAATTAGCTCTTCTTAATTATGTATGTTACAAATTGTTTTGACTTAAATATTGACCTGGATTAAAATTTTCAAAGACCACGAATGTGCTGTCCAGGTTTTCTTGCTCCTTAGTGAAAGCTTTATATCTCTCTTTATGAACAGCAAAGGAATTTAGGTTAAATACTAGGTTTAAATTTTAGGTTTAAATATTCAAGAGGAAGAGATTGAACCTACATCAACTCAGTTATGAAACTAGTGGCCTTGAAAATTACTATTTGAGAGAATAGAATGGTGCTTGCCAGGGACCTCAAGGAGGGGAAAACAGGGAGATGATGGTCAAGGGATGTAAAGTTTCACTTCTGCAAGATGAATACATTCTGGAGATCAAATATGACTACAGTTCACAGTATCGTATCATATACTTGAACTTTGCTAAGAAAGTAGATTCTGAGTGTTCTCACCAGAAAAGAAAATTTTTAAAAAGGAAAAGGAAGAAATAAAATGCTAGGTGAGATTACAAATATGTCAGTTATCTAAATTTTAGTGGACATTTCAAAATGTACGCATATACTCAATTAAGTTGTAAATTTAAATATATACAGTTTAAAACTGTCATCTATGCCTTAAAACAGCTGGAATAAATAAAGGAAAATTACCTGTATATTCATACAAATCCACGTAGCTCTACAAAGCAAAGGACCACTATACCAATATATGTAAATCCACTCATTAGTTGTTATAATACCTACATGTCCTCCTGAATCATTTGCAGAAAATTTAGCTTGATAAATTAAGAAAAATGGCAGTTTCACACTTTAATTAATAAGTAATTTTTGCTGCAATTTTAGTGCATAACCTTCCAAATTAGTACCAACCTCTTCGGTCCCACAGTCACACTCCTCTCCTGCTTCCAGAATTGCGTTACCACACACAGGTTGCTGTTTGAAAAAAAGATCTAAGCGAGGCTGGTTGTGAAGACACTGGGACTTCTGCTTTGAAATAAAATGTGCAAAGTCTTCGATGCTGCAGTTACTAAAGATCTTCACACCACTGAAATGACTAAAGACACATCAAACTTCAAATTTTAATGTTAAGAGTTTCCATAAACTATCTACCCTTAGAATAAACCTATAAAACAGCATTCCACAACAGACCAAATTCCCAACTCTGTGAGTGTCAAAGCTTTCAATCTTTAATCATGGGAATTCAACTGTGTAAGAATGTAAATATTTTAGTAGAAGTAAATTACTAATCCATAACATTTTATTGGCTCTCCTATGACAGTGCTCTCTCTTATTTAAGCTTCTATTCTCCAAAGTACCCCATTTCTTTTTCATTTGCTGTCTTTCTTCCTCATAGCTTTTAAGTACTGGGACACCCCTGTACAGGCTTTTCTTTTCTTCTTTTTTAAAAAATTTATTTATCTTTTTAAAATTTCTCCTTCGCTTATGAAACTTAGTTTCGCTGCATATGAAATCCTAGGTTGAAAGTTCTTTTCCTTAAGGATGTTGAATATTGGCCCCCACTCTCTTCTGGCTTGTAGGGTTTCTGCTGAGAGATCTGCTGTGAGTCTGATGGGCTTCCCTTTGTGGGTAACCTGACCTTTCACTCTGGCTGCCCTTAGCATTTTTTTCCTTCATTTCAACCCTAGTGAATCTGATGATTCTGTGCCTTGGGGTTGCTCTTCTTGAGGTATATCATTGTGGCTTTCTCTGTATTTCCTAGACTTCAATGTTGGCCTGCCTTGCTAGGAAACAAGGCTGGATGGAGAACAAATCTGATGAAATGACAGAAACAGGCTTCAGAAAGTGGGTAATAACAAACTTTTCTGAACTAAAAGAACTTGTTTTAACCCAATGCAAAGAAACCAAGAATGTTGAAAAAAGGTTTGATGAAATGCTACTGAGAATAAACAGCTTAGAGAGGAACATAATTGAATTGATGGAGCTGAAAAACAACATGAGAACTTCACGAAGCATACATATGTTTCAATAGCCGAACTGACCAAGCAGAAGAAAAGATTTCAGAGTTAACAGATCAACTCATGAAATAAAACGAGAAGGCAAGATTAGAGAAAAAAGAGTAAAAAGAAATGAACAGAGCCTCCAAGAAATACGAGATTATGTGAAAAGACCTAATCTATGTTTGATAGGTGTACCTGAATGTGATGGAGAGAATGAATCCAAGCTGGAAAACACTCTTCAGGATATTATCCAGGAAAACTTCCCCAACCTAGCAAGGCAGGCCAATATTCAAGTGCAGGAAATACAGAGAACACCACAAGATATCCCTCAAGAACAGCAACCCCTAGGCACATAATCATCAGATTCACCAGGGTTGAAATGAAGGAGAAAATGCTAAGGGCAGCCACAGCAAAAGGTTGGGTTACCTGCAAAGAGAAGCCCATCAGACTCAGCAGATCTCTCAGCAGAAATCCTACAAGCCAGAAGAGAGTGGGGGCCAATATTCAACATCCTTAAAGAAAAGAACTTTCAACCTAGGATTTCATATCCAGTCAAACTAAGTTTCATAAGCGAAGGAGAAATAAAATCCTTTATGAACAAGCAACTACTCAGAGATTTCATCACCACCAGGCCTGCTTTACAAGAACTCATGAAAGAAGCACTAAAGGTAGAAAGGAACAACTAGTACCAGCCACTCCAAAAACACACCAAATAATAAAGAGCATTGGCACAATGAAGAAACTTCATCAACTAACAGGCAAAATAACCAGCTAGCGTCAAAATGGCAGGACCAAATTCACACATAACAATATTAACCCTAAATATAAAAGGGCTAAATGCCCCAATCAAAAGACACAGACTGGCAAATTGGATAAAAAGACAAAACCCCTCAATGTGCTGTATACAGGAAACCCATCTCACATGCAAGGATACACATAGGCTCAAAATAAAGGGATGGAGGAAGATTTACCAAGCAAATGAAGAGAGAAAGAAAAAAAGCAGGAGTTGCAATCCTCTGATAAAATAGACTTTAAACCAACAAAAATCAAAAGAGACAAAGAAGGGCGTTACATAATGGTAAAAGGATCAATGCAACAAGAAGAACTAAAGATCCTAAATATACACGCACCCAATACAGGAGTACCCAGATACATAAAGCAAGTTCTTAGTGACCTAGGAAATAAGAGAGGACACAAACAGATGGAGAAATATTACATGCCCATGGTTAAGAAGAATCAATATCATGAAAATGGCCATACTGCCCAAAGTAATTTACAGATTCAATGCTATCCCCATCAAGCTACCAATGACCCTCTTCACAGAACTGGAAATACCACCTTAAACTCCATATGGAACCAAAAAAGAGCCCACATAGCTAAGTCAATTCTAAGCAATAAGAACAAAGTTGGAGGCATCACAGTACCTGACGTCAAACTATACTACAAGGCTACAGTAATCAAAACAGCATGTTACAGGTACAAAAACAGCATGGTTCGGGTACCAAAACAGCATGGTACAGGTACCAAAACGGAGATATAGACCAAAGGAACACAGCAGAGGCCTTGGAGGCAACACCACACATCTACAACCATCTGATATTTGACAAACCTGACAAAAACAAGCAATGGGGAAAGGATTCCTGTTTAATAAATGGTGTTGGGAAAACTGACTAATAATGTGCAGAAAGCAGAAACTGGACCCCTTCCTGAAACCTTACACTAAAATTAACTCCAGATGGATTAAAGACTTAAACATAAGACCTAATACCATAAAAACCCTAGAAGAAAACCTAGACAAAACCATCCAAGACATAGGCATAGGCAAGGACTTCATGACTAAAACACCAAAAGCTTTGGCAACAAAAGCCAAAATAGACAAGTTGGATCTAATTAAACTCCAGATTTTCTGCACAGCAAAAGAAGCAATCATTAGAGTAAACCGGCAACCAACAGAATGGGAAAAAATTTTTGCAATCTATCCATCTGACAAAGGGCTAACATCCAGAATCTACAAAGAACTAAAACAGATATACAAGAAAACAAAAAACAAAAAAGCCAATTCAAAATTGGGCGAAGGATATGAACAGACACTTTACAAAATAAGATATATATGATGCCAACAAACATATGAAAAAAAATGTTCGTCATCACTGGTTATTAGTGCCAGTTAGAATGGCGATCATTTGAGAATGTGGAGAAATAGGAACACTTTTACACTGTTGATGGGAGTGTAAATTAGTTCAACCATTGTGGAAGACAGTGTGGTGATTCCTCAAGGACCTAGACATAGAAATTCCATTTGACCCAGCAATCCCATTACTGGGTATATATCCAAAGGATTATAAATCATTCTGGTATAAGGACACATGCACATGAATGTTCATTGCAGCATTGTTTACAATAGCAAAGACCTGGAACCAACCCAAATGCCCATAGATGATAGACTGGACAGGGAAAATGTGGCACATATACACCATGGAATACTATGCAGCCATAAAAATGATGAGTTCCTGTAATTTACAGGGACATGGATGAACCTGGAAACCATCATTCTCAGCAAACTGACACAAGAACAGAAAACCAAACACTGCATGTTCTCACTCATAGGTGGGTGTTGAACAATGAGAACACATGGACACAGGGAGGGGAGCCTCACACACTGAGATCTGTTGGGGGGAACTGGGGAGGGGCAGTGGGGGGTGGGAATTTGGGGAGGGATAACATGGGGAGAAATGTCAGATATAGGTGATGAGGAGGAAGGCAGCACATCACACTGCCATGTGTGTACCTATGCAACAATCTTGCATGTTCTTCACATGTACCCCCAAACCTAAACTGCAATTGTATATATATATATATATATATATATACACATATAAAGAATAATGTTGATATCAGCAAAAAAATAAAATCACTAGATCATTGAGGCCTGATTAGAATACTGCAAAAGACTTTCTCTCATGACAAAGACAAAGCTCAATGGCAACATTTCTGAAATCAACAGATGCTGAGACTTCAGGCTGAGCCAAGGCAGGGTGAAGGAGAGCCATGCAGAGAAGTTCATACTAATAAACACTTTTTGTGTACTGATCTCATGCTTACATTTGGCTTATCAAATCATGCATCAAATTATAAAATTATACAAGTAAACATTGATAAATGTAGTGTTAGATTACATGAGAGAAAGCAAGTGTAACAGTTGATTACAAGTGATATTGAAATAAATACGCATCATGAGCATTGGAATATACATTTTGATCATGGAGTCCCCGGCCACATCTGATAGTCAACCATTATTATTTAACAACTTAAACTTTCTTAAACTAAGTATATTAAAATTACATTAAACTGCATATGTATAAAGTATAAAAGTTAAAAATCTTACATTGCTTCTGGATTCATAACACAGACAGCTCCTGAGCAGTGGCATTTGTGAATGTCATCATAAGTGATCCCCATACTGAGGCTCAGTAACTGTGCTAAAATAACTGCAAGTGATTCTAGACTTATGGTTCTGGGATGCTGAGAAAAAAAATAGATGTACATTATTTTGTTTACTGGGAGAACAATGCAATTATTAAAGAGTCACATGATAAAATATAATAGGCGCTGCTAATAAGCTATCCCCAGAAGTGCCATCCATGTTGGCATACCTCATTATAAATACAAGAAAATTATGAAAAGTAAAATCTAAAGTTTTACCAATATGTGAAATGGATGATGCATTTGATGGCCTCAGACGAAGAAAAAAAAATTGCTCCAGAAATTTGTTAACTACATATAAAAACCATTGCATCTTATTTGTATTCACAAAAGATAATATTTAAAGAAAAACACACAGGAAAAAACATAGTATTAAATTATGAAGAAATTATTTTAATTTGTAATTTGGTCACTACCCAAGGTTGGGAAGGGTGGTAGAAGGTGGTGGATAAAGGGGAGACGGTTTAATGGGTACAATTAAATAGAATAAGGCCTAGGATTTCTAGAAAAATAGTGTTACATTAGTTAACAACACTTGCAGTATATGCTAAAATAACTAAGAGTAGAATTAGAATGTTCTTAACACAAAGAAATGATAAAGGCTTGAGGTGATGGATATTCCAATTATCCTAATTTAATCATTACACTTTGTATGCCTGTACCAAAACATTACATCTCTCCAATAAATATATGTAACTATTGTATACTCATAATTAAAAATTTTTAAAAATTGATTCCTCAAAGATAATATTTTATATAGCCATTTCATTCATGTAACTCATAAGTTAACTCATTGAATTGATTAATATTATGGTAATCATGACTGATAATAAGAATTCTGACTTTTCAGTTGTTTAAATTTTACAGGAAAACTAAAATATCTTTGTAATTTCTTTCTTTGTAAGAGTCAGATGCTTACTATAGAGCATTTTGATCATACTATGACATGAATTTTGAGAAAAATCCACAAATCCTTTAAATATATCTAATAGCATTTTGATATACTTCATGATAGGCTTCTAGGTATACATTTTAGTTTCTTTTGTTTGCTTCTCTAAGTCAATTTCCCATCATTTTCTACCATGCTATCTAGCCCAGGAAGATGGCACAAATGGATTATGTCAGTGGGATGCTTTGTCCTTGACTTTTACCTTGATTTATTCTAACGGAGAGAAGAGAATGAGATGTGAATGAAAGCGAAGTATTTAGTACATCATTGCAAGGGTGCTTACGTCTCTTTGAATCTTTGAAGGGAGCTCTACCTTCTCTCTGTGACTCTGATAAAATGACTCCCCTCCTTCAAAACTTGGTACCAATTAAAGTTCTTAATACTTTCGTGAAGGTACTGCAAAGCAAAGGCTCTACATTTTGCATGCACATGGATCAAAACTCCATTTATCAAATTTCCACACTTGAATGTACCATCTGCTTTCAGAGAGACAGTGTTAGAAAGAAGGAGGAGGGCAAGGAGGAGGAAAAAAAGGAAAAGAATGAAAAGGAGAAGAAGGAGAAGACAGGGAAAAAGAAGGTGAAAGAATGATTCTTCTGGGAATGAAATGAAGGATTCAGCCAAATTTAAAGTGGTTAAATACTGTATTAATACTGGTGCACTTATTTTAAACCATCTTGTTTTCAAGATATTGTAGAAAGGGCTTATTAATCAGACAATAAATGCATCTTTACACTTTCCTCTTTTTCTCATGTTTCCTGTTATGTCTTACAGTTCACTAGGATGAAAACAACAACATCTAATGATTTCACTTTAGGCATTTGTATAAAAGCAGGGTATTTTCTTCCTTCATGTGCAGTCGCTCTTGCATTCCCTATCTTCGTATTATTGCATATAATTTGATCTTTCCTTTCATTGTATTTTCTTTCAAAGACATTTTCAAATGTCTTTGATCATTATAGGATCAAAGACATGGTTTTGCATTTGAGATGACATTTCTTTACATTTTCTTTGTCATCATCTCACTTTGGATTTCTCTTAATCAGTCTGGCCTGCCATAACAAAATACCAGAGAAGACTTGGTGGTTTAATCCAGAGAAATTTATTTTCTTGCAGTTCTATGGAATTTCGCAGTTCTAAAAGTCCAAGATCAGGGTGCTGGCAGGGTTGGTTGGCATATGCTGGGACCTTCTTGGCTGTCTTCTTGCTGTCCTTTCCTCTGTGTGCACATGGAGAGCCTCATCTCTGTTGTCTTTTCCTCCTCCTATATGGACAGCAGTCCTATTGAATAACAGCCCCCTGCCTTATGACCTATTTAACCTTGATTACCTCTTTTCAGGTCTCATCTAGGAATACAGTCACAACAGAGGTTAAAATTTCAACATATGAATTCGGGGGAACACAGTTCAATCTAGACTAGTATAAAAAAATTTTAAAAGATGTGGAAGGCAGTGGAAGAATTTCCTACAGGTCATTGTTATTTTTATCTCTGATTTGAAAACCAAGTGACAATAAAGCAAAACTATATTTAACACTGAATTGAAAAAATATACTTTGGGACAAAAATATTCAACAAAGCAGAATTTTTTTTTTTTTTTGGTGAATATACCTGATTAGAACCATGATTTTCAAATGGTAACAGCTACAAGCATTTATTAGGCTTCTTACATGCCAATCACCAGACTGAGAAATTTGTAAACAGGTATGGATTTGTTGAGACTTCTTTTGTTGCATAACATGTGAATATTCCCTAAAAATGTGCCTGACATATAAGTTTTGGAAAAGAACACTCTTGTCTCTAATTTTAGGTATCCACGTTTTATTTATTCCTTTTTTTTCTTTAATGAACATGTTATGTTTTATTCAACTCATTATTTACCCAAGGAACTGGTAAGATGTTCACACCAATTCAAAGAGTATATTAACCTCTTCTCATGCTGCTAATAAAGACATACCTAAGATGGAGTAATTTACGAAGAAAAAGAGGTTTATTAATTCATTAATTTTGAGTGTAACTGTACTTTTAATTTCTGTGGGGTGCACTACAGTATATGGATATTCCACAATATATTTATGCATTTGATGGATAAAATGACTCAATATTGTTAAGATACTAATCTCCCTGAAATTCATCTAAAGTTTCCATTAAAAAAAAAAAATAAAAATCAAACAATTTTGTTGAAATTGACAAACTGATTTTAAAAAGGAAATACAGAGGACCTGGAATATTTAAGAGTCTTGAATAACGGACTAGTAGGGTTTACACTACCATTTTTGATGTTTCACTATCAAGCTGGGGTTATTATGACAATGTGATATTGGTGGAAGGACATATGAAAACACAAATGGCCATAAAAGATTCCTGAAAGAGGCTAGCAATATGGTGACTTGATCTCTGTAACAAAACCAGAACTCTATTTCTGTGGCAGAAAACTAACCTGTAAATAAGTTATTATGGAGCAATTACCTATCTAATGTGAACTAACTGATTCTGTTCCCTATTTTGCATCAAATGAATCAATGTGGATTATATATTGAAAGGGAAAACCATCATGCTTGTGTTATAGAATAGCTTCATGATCTTAGAATGGGCAAATATTTCTTGAAGGTGTCTCTTTTTATATCAAGTTTTCTGAGAGTCTTTGATCTTTCTTTTTTTGTCATGAGTAGGTTCTAAATTTTATCAAATGTATCTTCCTGCATCTATTTTTAGTAAAGATTATAATAGTTAATTTTTAAATATAAAACTCATCTTGTATTCCTAGAATAATTTCTATGTGTTCACCATGCCATACTCATTTGATATATTACAGCATTCTTTTTGTTAACATATGATTAACATAAATCTCAAATCGTAAAACAAGGTGAGAATTAGCCCCTCCTTGTGCAGACGCATAGTTTGTGAATATCTTCTCCCTTTCTGTAGGTTGCCTGTTCACTCTGTTGATGTTTTTTGCTGTGCAGAAGCTCTTCTTTTTAGTCAAATCTCACTTGTAAATTTTTGTTTTTGTTGCAATTGTTTTTGAGGTCTTAGTTGCATATTATTTGGCAAGGCCAAAGTCCAGAATGGTGGTTCCTAGGTCTTCTTCTAGAATCCTTATAGTCGGAGGTGTTACATTTAAATCTTGAATCCATCTTGAATTAATTTTTATATATGGTGAAAGGTAAGCATCCAGTTTTATTCTTCTGTGTATAGCTAACCAGCTAATTATTAGAGAAATGCAAATCAAAATCACAATAAGACACTATCTCATACTAGTCAGAATAGCTCTTATTACAAATTTTTTTTTTTAAAAAAACAGATGCTCATGAGGCCATAAGGAAAATGGAATGATTATACATTGTTAGGGGAACTGTAATTAGGTCAGCAACTGTGGAAAGCAGTTTGGAAATTTCTCAAATAATTTAAAAAAGAACTACCATTCGACCCAGCAATTCTATTACTGGGTATATACTTAAAAGAAAATAAATCAATCCCAGCACACTGGGAGGCTGAGGTGGGTGGATCACCTGAGGTCAGGAGTTCTAGATCAGCCTGGCTAACATAGCAAAACCTGTCTCTACTAAAAATACAAAACTTATCCACATGTGGTGGTGAGTACCTGTAATCCCAGCTACTTGGGAGGCTGAGGCTGCCATTGCACTCCAGCTTGGACAACAGAGCAAGACTCTGTCAAGCAAGAAAGAGAGAAAGGGAGGAAGGGAAGAAGAGAGGAAGAAAGGAGGAAAGGTAGAAAGAAAGAAAGAGAGAGAGAGAAAGAAAGAAAAGGCAGGCAGTCAGGCAGGCAGGCAGGAAGGAAGGAAGGAAGGAAGGAAATCATCCTACCAAAGAGACACAGACACTTACATGATTATCACAGCATTATTTACAATAGCAAAGACATGGAATCAATCTAAGTGCCTATAAATGGTGGACCAGATAAAGAAAACATGATACATATAAACCATGGAATACTATGCAGCCACAAAAAAACCACCTTTGCAGTAACATGGATGAAGCTAGAGGCTACTATGCTAAGTGAATTAACTCAGGAACAGAAAATCAAATACTGCATGTTCTCACTTATAAGTGGGAGCTAAACATTGGGTCCACTTAGACATAAAGATGGTAACCATAGAAACTAGAAACTACTGGGGGTTGAAGGAAGGGTTGAAATCCAACCAGTGGGTACAATGCTGAGTACCTGGGTGATATAATCAATCATATCCCAAACCTTAGCATCTCACAATATACCCAGGTAACAACTTGCATGTGTATGTCCTAAATGTAAAATAAAAGTTAAATTATTTTTTAAAATAAATAAGATTATTTTGATCTCCATTTGATTGATTTGTGTCTTTACAGCTTCACTTAGCTTTACTTCATGTGTTCATTGCCTCTCTGAAACTTCAGATGTTGTACAAACACTCACACAACAAAAAGGCAAGTTCTGTTTTTCAGAATAGTGATGATATTATGAAATAACAGCAAAAAACATAAGTTTCGAATACATTAATGTTTTCCACTAAGATAATTAATGTTAATTAGGACATTTGGTTCTATTATTCTTAAGCCCTATGAAGCCTTTTCAGGTGACTGATATTTTCAAATGTTTTATTTTATTCTAGTTCATAATTATGTTAACTACATAAATAAGAAAATATACAAAATTTAAGTTTCAGCTAAAATTAATTATTAAATATTAAGATTATGAAAACTCAAAGAGCACTTTACAGTAAGACTAAACCAGATCACTACCTTAATTTTCTAGAAAGAATATTTTGAACTCATAATAGGAAACTGAAAAATTTTTATATATAGTGAATTCAATGAGCACTTCTTATAGTTTAAACATTTCTATCAGCAACAGTGACAAAGATGCTTAGAACAATGCAAATTTTAATATACATACAAATAAAATATGAATATGTTTAACTGTATACGAATCTATATAGCATACTTTCTCTACATAACCATACATACCAGAAGAACACCTCCTGCGTAGTTAGCATCACACATCTTCCCTTGAAGTGTTGCACCAACATAATTTGACTTTTCTCTGTAACTTAAGTTTAAAAAGGGATCATAATCACATAATTTTGTGAAATGAAGCACAATTAATACTAAATTTTTATAAGACAAATGTTACATTTATAATTATTAAAATTTCCATCTAACATTAGTGTAGCAGAGCATAAGAGTGACTAAATCTTTCTGCTTCTTTTGAAAACAAGAAAATAGATTTTAAAAACAAATAACAAAAAGTGTTTTTCATATGAATTTCTGTAACACAGTGATTTTTATGTAGATTTTACAAAAACGGAAACAGAAAAACTAAAGATAAAACAAAAAATGATAAAAATAAACACCATTCCTATGTGTACAAACTAGTTGTATTCAATAACTCACTTGAATAAACTGCACAACAAAAAATAAAAATAAATACATAAATAAATAAAATTCCTTAAAAGTAAAAAGTTAAGGCAATGCAACTGGTTAATGAGCAGAAACACTCTATGGACTAAAATCTCTCATTATTCAGACAAATTAGCTTTTCAAAGACATGAAAAAGTCATGTCATATTTATAGGACAGAAGATAAAAAGTAAAATGTTTTAAACTCCCAGTATAATCTTTACAATTCTCTCTCTCTGTCTATACACACACACACACACACACACACACACACACACACACACACATATATATATACCTCTTCAGAATATTGATGAAAGAAAAAGAGAGGCTACTAAATAGAAAGGAAGGCTTATGTACTAAAACCTTAAGCACAATGCAGATATTTTAGAGATATTAAAACACAGTGTTTCGCTTTCTTTTCTTGCTTTTTAATTTTATAACAACTAATCATAAGAAGAAAGCTGATTACTACATTTATAGAATTCAGATGTTTCTCCAAATAGATATTGTGAAAAGTTTATTCAATGTGTGAGACATTTAATAATGTGGTATACGCTCTAGGAAAGAAGTAATATGGGAAACATGATTGAGGAGTGAGTTTTAACTTAAACCAATAAATAAGCTGATATCAGTCATTCTGATACAAATACCATGTTGTGAAAAATATTACATGGTGTATGTCAGAAAAAAAAAAGAATTTTTTTTCTACATGCTTATCAACTGTCAGATATTGGGTCAAATTGGATTCTTTTTTTTTTTTTCAGATAAGCTGTATATAATGTCAAGATATGCTTACACAAGTAAAAATGCCACATCATGGGGACGTAAAACAAGATAAGATCTTTTCCATTTTAAAAATGTGCGTAATAAGTCATTAGCATCTCCAGTGGTTGCAATTTTATTTTCATCTATCCAAAGCTCCAGTGAAGACAGAATAATTGTAAGATTAAATGAAACAAAAATCTAAAATAGAAAACATACAAAAATATGTTCAAATGCCACAGTTTTTAAAAATTGGATATTTATGTTTGAAAACAAGTTTATGGCAAACATTAAACAACTATACTGTAAGTCTGCATTCGATATTTTTAAAGTATATTAAGTTTAAAATGTTACCAATAATAAAAGTAATACTTGAGATTTTATAATGCTTGCATTTAAGGAAGCCCCATATCCCATGCTTTATATAATTAAAGTTTTGTAGTAACCAAATTAAGTGCATATAATTATTATTATTCCTACTTCAGATAAGTAAAATTTAAAATAAAACTTAATTTCCCCTATACCACACAACATGTGCATTCATGTAGTGTCATGAGGAGGTGTACAAATCGTTTCAGTAACATAAGAAGTGCAAAAGTGCTAAGAAGCAAACACTTACAGCATTCGTCAATCCAATCAACTGGAAAATTTTTTGAGTGACAATAGTTGTATCAGACCCCATATGATTATACTGCAAAATATAATTATCTTTTAGATATAAATATATATTGCTTAACATATAATAATTGTTATTGTTTCATGAAAATTCAGTTTAGTGAAGTAAAAAATTGTTTAAACTACCAACATATTATTAGTTTTCAGACATTATTTTTATACAAATTATATATGTTCAGCATAAAAAATGAAAAATATAATTGAAATTTTATTTTTTCTATAGAAATCAAAAAATTTTAAAACATTATAAAAATATAATTCAACTATCAATAAAATATTATAATAATTATCAAAAGAAAAGATTAGCTCTAAACTCTAATATTTAAATGTGTTTATATGAGACATAGTACATTTTCAAACATACAAATAACCTAATGGTAAAGAAACTTAAAAGGTATGTCATGCAAATAGCAATAATAAGAGAGCTAGGATGTCTTTCAGGAAGATATAAAAATTATAAACATGTATGCATCCAAAAAGACAGGCAGATAATTACACAAAGCAAAAAATAACAGAAATGAAGAGAGAAACAGAAAATTCAAAATTATATTTAAAGACTTATGTAAACAACTTTCAATAATAGAATACTTGGGCAAAAAATCAACAGAGATATTGAAGACTATAACAAAACTACAAAGCAATAGATATCTATAGAACATTTCACTATAAAACAGCAAAATATGCATTCTTTTTAAGTGTCCATGTAACATGATCCAGAAATAGAGCATATAAAAATGAAAATGATTCAGGATGTCCAAAACAATTTTAAATAAGAACAAAGTTGTAGAACCCACATATCTCAATTTTAAAACTAACTGTAAACTACAGTAACCAAGACAATTTGTTACTGGCATTTTATTAGATTTACCGATCACTGAAATTAAAATAAGTTTCCAGAAATATATTCTAACACATAATGGTCAATTAATATTTGAAGAAGAATCCAAGAAAATTAAATAAAGATTAAGCTTTCAAAATTAAAAACTTTATCCTTCAAATGACTCTATCAAGAAAACAGAAAGAAAACCTTCAGAGATGGTAAAAATATTTGCCAAATATATATCTGATAAAGATCTAGCATATAGAATATATAAAGAATATTTACAACTAAACAACAAAAAGACAACCTAATGAAAACATGTGCAAAGAGCATTGTTTACAATAGCAAAGACCTGGAACCAACCCAAATGCCCATCGATGATAGACTGGACAGGGAAAATGTGGCACATATACACCATGAAATACTATGCAGCCATCAAAAATGATGAGTTCATGTCCTTTGTAGGGACATGGATGAACCTGGAAACTATCATTCTTAGCAAACTGACACAAGAACAGAAAATCAAACACTGCATGTTCTCACTCATAGGTGGGTGTTGAACAATGAGAACACATGGACACAGGGAGGGGAGCATCTCACACTGGGGTCTGTCATGGGGAAATAGGGGAGGGACACTGAGGGGTGGGGAGTTGGGGAGACATAGCATAAGGATAAATGCCAGATACAGGTGATGGGGAGGAAGGCAGCAAATCACACTGCCATGTGTGTACCTATGCAACAATCTTGCATCTTCTTCACATGTACCCCAAAACTTAAAATGCAATAAAAAGGAAAAAGAATAAAATAATATAATATAAAATAAAATAAAATAAAACATGTGCAAAGAATGTGAATAGACATTTCTCAAAATAAGATATGCAAATGACTAATAAAAAATGTAAATATTCTCCATATCATTACATATTAGGGAAATATAAATCAAAACCACAATAAAAAACTAATTCGCATTCATTAGAATCACTGTAAGTCAATTCTAAGCAAAAAAACAAAGCGGGAGACATCACATTACCAGACTTCAAACTGTACTACAAGGCTACAGTAATCAAAACAGCATGGTACTGTCACCAAAACAGAGATATAGACCAATGGAACAGAACAGAGGCCTCGGAGGCAACACCACACATCTACAACCATTTGATCTTTGACAAATCTGTCAAAAACAAGCAATGGGGAAAGGATTCTCTGTTTAATAAATGATGTTGGGGAAACTGGCTAGCCATGTGAAGAAAGCAGAAACTGGACCCTTTCCTGACATCTTACACTAAAATTAACTCCGGATGGATTAAAGACTTAAACATAAGACCTAACACCATAAAAACCCTAAAGAAAACCTAGATGAAACCATTCAGGACACAGGCTTAGGCAAGGACTTCATGACCAAAACACTGTAATTCAAAAGACACACAATAACTAACAACTGTTGGTGAGGATGTGAAGAAATTGTAACTCTTAAGCATGCTGATGGAAATATAAATTGGAGCAAACATTTTTGAAGACAGTTTGTCAAACGTGAAATGGAGATATCTTATAATCCAACAATTTGCAGTTCTCATTTTCACATCTACCCAATACAAATTAAAGCACATGGCCACACAAAAACTTAAACACAAATGTTGATAGCAACATTATTCATAATAGCTTAAAAGCAGAAAAAGTGAAATATCCATCAACTAATGAAGAGGTAATCAAATTGTGATACAATAGGATAATATTTTACAGTAAGAAGAAATGCAATACTAATACATGCCATAACATGCATAAACCTGGAAAATATTACAGTAAATGAAAAAGCAAAATTATAAATCATTACATATTGTAGATGCCATTTAAATGAAATGTGCAAAACAGAAAAATCTCTATAGTCAGAAAATAAATTAGTGATTGCTTGGCCTGTGGTACAGGAAAGCAGGGACAGAGGGACTGGAACTAATTGCTAATAGATATACATTCTTTTTGTAAGGTGATAAATATTCTAAAATTACATTATTGTTATTATTGTTTGCACAAATCTGGAATTTGTGCAAACAATAAAAACCATGGAATTTTACATTTCAAGTAGTTTAACATCATAAAATGTAAATTACATTTTAATAAAGCTGTTTAAAAACAACAGCAAAAAAAAAAAAAAAAAAATGGCAGAATTTCCAAATCCTCAGTGAGTACATCTCTCCACTATAAGCAGGTTATAATAAAGGGTCTTTAAACAGGGAACAACTCCTGAAAAGAGAGAGATTAAATGTAATATTTTAATTTTCCCAATTAACACTCCAACCATGTATTTAATTAATTACTTTTTCCCAACAACAAAAAAATGAAGATACAGAGCTTATCCAAAGAAAAAGCAGAGCTCTCCCAACTTGGAAATCCCATGCATCTAAACAGTTTGCAACTTTGATTTTAACAACTAAACATCAAAATATAATTACAACAGTGATATTTTTTTTAAAGCAATGTCAGGGCCCAAATGGGGTGACTTATGCTAAAGTTTCATGTCAATAAACTAAAACCTAAGTTGTTTACTTCAAAGATCAGAGCTTTCAAGAATCAGGGGAGAGATAATAGCCAAACAGGCCAGTTTTAATAAAACAGAATGTTTTCAGTAACCAATCAAAAGGGGCACAGTTAACTTAACATGATAAGGATGTCCTCTCTGCTTTAACCCATATAAACAATGTAACATAATGCTAACAAATCTATTTTTTTATTATTGCTGTTTCTTATTCCTGATTGTAGAAAGTAAAAGTTCATCTTCAAAGTTTCCCTTCTTATTAAAGAATAATAATAATAAATGTTAGAAATAATAGTCTCCTTTAAAGAATAACTTTCTTCAAAGCCTTCTTGCTTTTTGGTAGTAACTCTTTGTTAAGCCTCATCTTATGAGGCTGTTAGAAATAAGGGAATAAGCACATGCTATGTCTCTATACTTTAAACAAGATATTTGTGCTGGACACGCTCACAGGCATGTTCTAACTTGCAGCCTATGCCCCTTCCTTATTTGAAATTATTACTTTTCCAAGTCCTTTTGCAAGCAACTTCCTATTTTCCTTTTGTTCTCCATTGCCTTACCAATTCATAAAGGTTTTAAGTTATCAGCCAGCAAGTTTAGCTTAGACTGTGAGGTCCAGCTCCAACCAATGGAGATCAGACACAGCAGTAAGAACCCAATGCATAAGAAATAAATATTCCTGCTTTTCTTTTGTTCAGTGTATTCTCATGGCAAGATGGCTGATGAGCAGCACCCTTTCTGCAGAAAGCAAAATTGACTTTCTGAGAAAATGTTTTGTCTGAATGCTAGTATTTCCTTGTAGTACCTAAGAACAAGCATTCTGTCTCTAACACTGATAAATCTGCCTGACACAGCTTATGTCTATTTGATGCTGCCGGGTTCATGAATTGCTATTGAAAACCAGTCAGATCTTTAAAACTTAGCTTTTTAGAATTCTGCTCTTTGGCAGTCTTCGAATATGGTATCTGAAGGAGGCTTGTGGCTATCCCTGTAACTCATGAGGTATGCATGTGAGGTGACTGTTGGCTTCTTTATGCTTCTCTGTCTTTCTCACCAAAACCAGAGTTTGTCAGTAAGTTCCTCTTGAATTTCAGCTCTACTCTCTTATTTGAGCTCCCTGATACTTTTGGCTTTCCAGTTCAAGGTCTTTTTGTGCTGTAGCAAAGCACAAAATTCATAAGACTTTGAGTGTTTGTGAGGATCCACAAGACAGAAAAGGGCTGCAGCTTTAGAGGTAAAGAAGAGCTGTTGGCACATTCACGGGAATTTGGTTTCTCTCCTCTGTTTCTTGTCTTATATGCAAAGTTAAGAAAAAAATCACAGATAGATTGGTCAAAGGAATCTCAGAGCTGGGCCACAACTTGACTGATGGGCACTGATCAGACACTTAGAAGTTGTTAAAGTGTTTGCCACCTAAAACTAAGATTCCTGTGTTAGGATAAATTGGTGACAGAATAGGTTACCTTGACAGTAGTGCATTTGACACTTGCCAGTTTCAAGAACAATTTCCATATGAAAAACACTATAAAATCTCCCACAACACAACAGGGTAGCACTGTCATCTTAGGCTTTTTTTTTTTTTTTTTCTCGGCTCCAAGAAACCCAAGACCCAATATAAGGATGGGATCTTTACATTCTAAAGTATCCAGTAATCCATCTTCTAGTATGC